GTACCAAGCAAGAAGTGATGAAAGGGTTTATGGATGTTGTGGATGGAAAATTTTCTTCTCGAAAGACAAAATTTTGGAATGAATGTGAGTTATATAAGAAGAGATTGCAGAGCTTTGCTCGTTCAAGTGCACTTGAATCTTCAAAATATATGAAACCCAGTAAGATTACAAGTTTAAATTTATAATTTTAATACTTTTTTTTTATGAAATATATTTTTAATTATAATTATTTTAACATTTTATATATTTCTTATCTTCTTGATAGATGAGTGGTGGAAATATTTCGGATATAGTGCTCCAACTCTTAAAAATTTGGCTATTAAACTTTTGGGCCAAACTTCATCATCTTCGGGTTGTGAAAAAAATTGGAATGTTTTTGAAAAGATACACACCAAGAAAAGAAACAGATTGGAGCATCAAAGATTAAATGATCTTGTCTATGTGCATTACAAATTTGTGTTTGAAAAATCTATATTTTATCTTATGTTTATTTAAATTATATCTTTTTTCTATTTAAACTTTATTAATTAAATCTTTTGCGAATTTCTAATGATCTTGAATTATAGGATTGATGGCAAGAAGAATACTTGTTTTGATCCTATTGATTATGAGAGTATAGACAATGTTAATTGTTAGATAATGGAAGAAGATGATTCTCCAATTCTTGATTATGACGAATTGGAAAATATGATTTATAATGAAGGAGCAATTCCAATTTGTCATATAAATCAAAAAGAAGTTTAGTCATTAGTTAATTTAATTTTTAATATATTATATCATTTAATGAATAGATAAATGTAAGACTTATTTCTTATATTATTTTTCTTGCATGATTCTATAATTTCAATTGAAGGTATTGAGGAAGAGCAAGTTGGTGAGAAAGTTGGTGGTCCTAGTGAAGGGATTGAATTAGAAACAATTGGTGATGGATTTGAAGATAGTGATAGTGAGCATGACTTTCAGAAGCTACATGCTTACTTTGATGAAGATGCTCCTCATTTAGGCCAAAATAAATAAATTAGTAATGATGCTTCATCTATTTGACATTTGTGTTTATTATGGATTTGGTTTGAAACTTTTTGTTATATTCAAGATTTATTTTGTATTGAATT